TCGTGGAGCACGAGGTGGTGCCAAGGCAGCTGGGTGCTCGCTGGAGCTCCTGCCTGTTCGTTAAACCTCTCTGTTAGTTTTCCAGGTGAGGACGTTTTCCTGAGAGAGCCGCTGGTAATCATGGGCAGCTGCCGGCTGCGTTGCTTAGTCAGAGGTGGACCTCGGCTGAGGGGATTAATGGCCAAAAAAAGTCACATATTGGTGATTTATGTGTGCTGCGTGGTTCAGACGCGGTTGGTAAGCCTGACTCTGGAGACCTTCCCCCCGGCTTGCTTGCCTGAAAACCAAATTTATGTATGGAGTCTGAGGGACCTGGAGCTGGTGGCACGTCCCCAGGAAGGTGGCAGTTGGGGAGCAGAGCCTGGCAATAAATAGATACGAGAGATGAGTTTATAAAGCGGGGAAGCGCGCAAAGACTTCGCGATGGGGGAAAATTAACCGAGTCAAGGCAGAGATGCAAAGGGGAGAGGTGAGGGAGGGAAGGGAGAGGAGAAAGCAAGAGATGTTGAAGACGTCTGTGCCTGCACAGGGAAATCCATCACCCTTTCTCTTTTTAAACTGGAAAGAAGGCAAGGGGAAAGTTCAGGAATGTCACATTGATGCTAAATGCTGGTTTTAAGTCTGACCATTAACCTTGCCATTATATATAGCGCTTGACTCACTTTCTTTTAAATATAAGAACATGACAGGATAATTTGACTATGACTAGAAGAGTCGGCCTTCAAGTGTTGGAAGAAGTTACTCCACCTCAATGGCTGAGTAGCTGATAAGTGTTAGCTGGAGCCTCTCTTGCTCTTGTGTTATGGTTGATACAGGCTTTCTCCCCTCAATGGATAACAAGATAGGTTTTCCAGTGCCTCTTTTAGTCTTTTGCCATGCCTTCACTGGAAAAAAGCCAGGTGTCTTTGGTTTGTTCCTTCCTTTCTTCTTTGGTTTAAAGCAACTGAATACATGTATATATAATATATACACACACCCCAAACTTGAAGTTCAACAGCAAAAGCAGTTCATTAGTAGCATATCCCTGCTGTTAAGGGAGTTTATTAAAAGCATGAAGTGTGTTAGCAGAGGAATGGTAGAGAGGGAGAAGACAGACAGCTGGAAGATGATTAGAGGTGTCTCACTTGAAAGAACTGTGACTTGGTTTATGTCCCCTTGCATCTTTAATGATTCATTAAAATATAAAGTTGCTGACCTTTTGCTGCAGTGAGTTTGGGGCTGAAACGCTGCTTGAGCTTATTGTTTCTTTGGTTTTCTTTGCTCTGCTCTGCGAGGGGATTTTTCTCTCCTTCGTGTATGAGATGACGTGCAATACAGCAGATTTCTGAGCTGGTTACCTCGTGTCCTGAAAATCCTCAGGGATTTTAATGTCCTTTATTTTGTATGATGCAGCCTTCACGTGTTGGGGCCCAAATCATGCATGAAAGGTCACTGACGAGGAGGAATGCAAAATGGCTGTGCGTTTCACGCTGACATGTAAGCAGGCATTGGCATTTGGAGTGTCCTGTGGATAGACACAGAGCAAGTTAGAGATCCTGCAAAAGTTTTATAGATTGCTTAGATCCCTGTCAGAGGAGCGTGGGGCAGAGGAACAGAAATTGCACTTGACAGCAGTTCCAGATGATGTTTTAGTCTTAGTCGTTGCTGGTATCATCTCAGTAAATATTTGGTATATATTGATGTCTCTGTGAAACCAAGGACTAGAAACAAAGGGAAGTGTTCCTAAACTTTCTTCCTGGGGGCCTGGTTCCAGCCCAGAAACTTTCCTGTTCTCTAGTCTGAATTAGACTGTGTTTTAATTTATGTAATTGATAAGAAATGGGGACTGGAAGATTTGAGCTGCAGGTTAGACTTCGCATTAAGTCTAGACCTGCTGAAATGGTTGTCACTTCCTAACTATTGCAGGATTTTTCTCCCATTTCTAGTATTTGAGAGAAGGCGGCATGGTAATTCTGGAAATTTGGGACGGTCCTTTTGAAATTGCAGTTTTCAGATATTTCAGCTGAAAAATTGCTCTCTTGACTTCTCATAAACAGAACCAGCCTGGCAGGGGTGTGTTTGTGTGTGTGGTTTTGGTTACTGTTAGTAGTAGTTGAAACTCCAGAGGCTGATCTAGTAGACTTAAATACTTTCAGTTTTGTTTTTAACAGTTCTGAATTGTATGTATGTTGTAAACCAGAAATATATATTTAAAAAAAAAAAAAAACAAACCCAACACCTTCTTATTCTAAGAATTTAAAATGTTATTGTTATTGGGCTTATTCTTTTTTGAGCAAGCCTAAAAGTGCAAAATGTACTGCAACGTACGCAACCACCTTTGGACCACTCAGCTTACTTGTTTGTAAATGTCAAAAGGAGAACACTTTAGCAGAGAATTTGAGGAAATTCATATGCCTTTGAGTTTGTTTCTTTTTGTTTGCTTGATTGTTTTCCCCCTTAGCATGAGGGCTGCGAGCAGCAAACGTCACTGGCTGGGAAGTGATCTCATTGTATTGTCTCGCAAGTGCCGTAAGGTACGTGTGGTTTTTTTCCTTATGCGTTTTCCTTCTGTCTTCCAGCGTCAACGCCTGCGTAGACGTGGTTCTGTCCGGTGTGAAGTTGTTAGAGGCACTCGGTCTTGAACCTGGGGATGGAAAAAATCATGCGGTCTTGAACTCCAGACAGGACCTAAAAGAAGCATTTGCTCACTTCATGGAAAAAGGGGCAGCTGCCGAGCGCTTCTTCAGCGATGCCGAGTCTTTCCATCACATTGCACAGACAGCCTCCGAGTACCCTGGTGCACAGGTACGTCTTCCACCTGAAAATAAGCTTTGAGCAGCGTGTTTCTTATTTTCTGCATCGTTGGTGACTTTCGTTCTCTGTCTAGTGAGAGTGCAGATCATTCAGGAAAGAAACCTCTGCCATAGCTTGAGTGCGTTAATGACTTTCCGCAGAATTCTGCACCTGGTTTTGAATGCTCTATCCCTCGATTACTTTCCCAAGACTGAAGGGTCAGTCCGAGACGCCTCTGTAAGAATACTGTTGTATGGGAGCCAGATGGGGCCGGTGCTTGTAAAAGGCTCCAACGTCTTGTAATGAGGCAGGAAGGGGGGAAACAGATCCCAGCACTAGGAGGTGTAAACACTCTGATCAGCTGAGCTACTTAACGCAGGATTTAAATTCTCTCTAGGAGTGATGAAAAGAAATAGGTGTTTTTTTCTGAAGCCTCCCTTTCCAAAAGCAAGGGTTCCTTGCTCTAATTTATACTGGGTCTTCTAATCTAGCTTGATACCTTGCTTGGCAATTAGCTCATTTTTACAAACTGCTTAATGCTGCCTTCTATCCGGTTTGCCAGCTGCTTTTGAAGATGAGGAAGAGCTCTAAATGTTTTCTGTTGGTCAGGTCTCTCTTGTGTTGACTTGTTTCTTCCCACTTTTGCTACGTTGACTTTCTAGCATCACCTGATTATTAGCTGTATCCTTCTATAGCCTGTTTTCTGTCCCCTCTGAGTGCCTGCAATCCTCACAACAATCTATATTCTTTGGTTTCAAAGCTCGCATTGGCGTTCTCTTACTTGAAAGTTTGACCTTTCTCACCTGAAGAGACTTTCACTGTTCCGCTCACTTCATGCGGGCACAGGTAGCAGGTTTAATCTTGATTTCAAACTGGATGGAAGTATTATTGCAGTTTTCAAATGATTGCTTGTCAGCCTTGCCAATAAAACACAAGTTACCAACTACCACAGAAAAGCTGCACAGAAGTAAGGGCTGTTTACATTATGAATTGATTTATACAGGGCTGTGAGTTACCTAAAGGCAAATATTTAGATTAAAAAAAAAAAAAGTCAGAGAACACTTAAACTTGTCAAGATCTCACAGAGGATTTTAAAATTGTTTTGCCTTCAGCCCTGATAAGCTTTATTAACTTCCATAATGCTAGACTCTCTTCTAAAAAAGGTAAAATCTCTAGCTGATAGCGAGGACACTATCAAAGCAAGGGAATGCCCACACCTGCCTCTGTTTGTTTTACAGCTTTACGTAGGAGGAAATGCTGCTCTCATTGGTCAGAAGCTTGCAACAAATCCAGACCTGAAGGTATGCGTTCCAAAAGTTTCGTGCTATTCACTTGTCTTTAATAAGCCTCACGTTACTTCCCTGTAGATTTTGGGGATCCCGCAGTTATTTCTTAGGTTATGGTGGAACATATGGTTGGCCTTACAAGTTATGTAGCTGATTTTTTTTAAATTGCTTTTTTTTTTTTTTAAATCAATTGTCTAGGTGATGCTTAAATGCACTGAAATGGTGGCAAAGGATGTGGCAGGTGATCCTTGATTGTTTTTTTTTCTTGTTTCTAGATCCTCCTTTGTGGCCCAGTTGGTCCTAAACTCCATGAACTACTTGATGACAATGTGGTTGTGCCACCTGAATCCATGCAGGAAAGAGACGAATTCCATCTTATCTTGGAGTATCAAGCAGGTACCTTGCCAAAGGCTGGATGTTAGATGGGAACCCTGAACATCACTCAGACAGTCCTGGTTTTAAAGTTGGAGGGTTTTTTTGAATCAGTTAATTCCAGAAAGACTGTGTAAGTTATCAGTATTGGCAGCTGTCACCGGGCTAATTGGGTAATTCCGTGCGCTTCGGGGAGCTGTGGTAGGTGAACAGACATCTAAAAGTCTTTTGAAACTTTTTCCCTTTGTAATACAGTTACCGAAACGTGAACTCCTGCTGCTGTCTTGCCATCCCTTTGGTTCTGTATGCTTGTATGCTACAACCTATAGAAACCAAGCGGACTTCTCATTTAGTTGTGATACGTAGCCTAAGCAGACCTGACGGGTGTAATTCTAAAGCTGTATGAACACTAAAATAGTTTGGTAGTGTTCTCTGAAAGCAGAAAGGTACCATTTAACCTCATGCAGATGAAATTCAGGGTAACCCTAAGGAAATGACTAAAACAAATCTGCGCGTATTTTCTTGCTGTTTTCCATCTGAATTGTTCCGCTGGTCCTATCTCGACGTATAGCTTCAGAAAGAGTTACGTTGGCCTGACGGAAGAGGGAGTGTTTGGGAAGGAGGGAGGGCAAGAACCCCCATAATTCAACTTTTTCAGCAGCAAAACTAATCCCAAAGCATCCACTCTGATGGACTCCTGGCTGAGACAAGGTTACTATAACTGACAAGTGCTGTTACACAGTAGCCAATGGAAAATACGCTAATTTTGAAGGGAATTTTACTCTTCTTGCTCCTGGAAGCATCCTGGGTAGATGATACATCAGTAGAGGATGCCTCAGCATCTTTGTTCCCAGATAAGAACTGTCCTCCTGATGCAAAGCTGAGGATCTTTGTCCTAGGCAGAGCTTTGCCTTAAGCCTTTTCTTAAGAGGAGGCAGCGCTGATGGCTGTTGATGCTGGTTTAGTGGCTTTTCCCCAAATGCTGCTCACGTTCTCCAAACTCTAACCAGCGTACGGTCTGGGAGAGCTGAGTAAGGAAGTATGCAGGCTGGCTCTAAGGTGGAGATTCCGCCTATAAGAGCCCCAAAATTGCTTGTGTCTCGAGCTTTCTGTTCAAGCTGCCCTTGGTGACCGGTGTTTGTTTATTCCCTTACATTTCTTTCTGTCCAGTTATCATAACTGGCACCAGGAACCGAACAGCAATGCGTGTACAGATGGGGAGAGCTGGCCAGTTGGACTGTGGCTGTTGTAATTTGTATCCTCTCTAGGCTGTCGTTACCCTCTTTTCTCATGGCTCGGTGTCCTGGCGATGGAGCCCATTTAATTTATCGTCTTATCCAGGAATAAACCAGTTTACACACACAGCACTGGTGCAGTTCTGTTCTGCAGATCATTTCTGGGAGCTGCGCTGTAAGGAACCATAAGAGTTGTTGAGGGCGTACCCAGAGACAGGCTAACAAGCGGCTGTTGCCAGAAGGGGAGGTCTCCCCTCTGCATATCCCGCTCACTCCAGCCGTCTGGCTTGAGCTGGCTGTGACACTCACCTAATTGCACGATCAACTCATACAACCAATTAAAACATCACAAAGCTTGCAAAACCAAACAAGTACTGAATTTTCCTTGTGATCAGGCGAGCATCTAAACAAGGCAGAGGGAGTGAATGAAAAGAACGAGTGAGAAAAAGAGCGAGAGATGGCACATTGGGGCCAGTCAAAGCGTGAAACCATGCCCTTGGATTCCAGCAGGATATCCCAAAACAATCTCCGGATGCGTGGTTTGATTTGCTTCTCTTCTGAGTTAACTTGCTTCTATTTGTTTCACCCTAGGCGAGGAGTGGGGACAAGTGAGAGCACCCAACGCCAACCGCTTTATCTTCTCCCATGACCTATCAAATGGCGCCTTAAATATGCTGGAAGTGTTTGTGTCCAGCTTGGATGAATTTCAGCCGGATCTTGTGGTACTTTCAGGACTTCACATGATGGAAGGCCAGAGCAAGGAGATGCGACAGAGACGACTTATGGAGGTAAGATACTTGAATACCGGTGTCTCCTTAATTTCCATTCCAACAAATGCTTCATGGCAAAGTCTTGGTTTTCCAGGTTTGAACTTGTAATTAGGCTGGGTCTTCAGATCTCCCGCAAATCGTTTCATATCGCATGCTAAAAGAAGAATGTGAACTGTAGGAATGGCAAAAGTCTAATCCCATAACACTCATGTCTCTTGCATTCAGGGGGTTGACTAGCGGGGGGAAAAGGTATGGTCTGGTTGTCTGGCTGGAGTAGGTTGGAACTGGAGCTTATCTGGTGGCTAAATGACATTTTTTCTATCCCAGATACTAAGATGATCAAGGTTATAATCGAGGCTTGCATTCTTTAAGCAGCTTCTGTGTTAGATAATCCAAGAGGCAGCTTTCTCATCTGAGCCCAAAAGAGCTACACCACCTTTTCTTTTTCTTTACAGATCGTTGCCTGTTGTACAGTGCCTTTCCTGATGCAATGCACTAGCCTTCTTTTTCTCCTTCTTTTTCTCTGTTCTAGGATCAGCTGTTCTACAGCTGCTTCAGATTTGTGAGGTTTCTGAGTAAGTCCATTAGCAAAGTGCTGAGCTGGGTGCAGATCAGGGTTAGATATAGTTTTCTTCCTCTGGGATTCTGAAAACTAGAAATTGTTTTTATTTCTGCCCCTTAGCAGTACATTCTGGCACCTGTCAGACATCCCTTTGGAATTATGTTTAAATCCGTATACAAGAAGATTAAAAGATGTGTACCTCTGAGTCAAACCCCCTTTGTTCTTTTCTGTTTCTTAATGAATATGTGGTTTAGGGTTGGTTTGTTGGGTTTTTTTTCTTTTCCTGTACCCCTGCAGGCTGTGGCCTCCATCTCGGATATCCCTACTGACATTCCCATACACCTGGAGCTGGCCAGTATGACTGATCAAGATTTTATGAGCAACATCGTGCATCAGGTAACGAAAACGAAAGGACACGCTCTTTTTACCAGCTTCCTTTTCTTCAGTATCACAATGCGCAGACTGGTAGATGAATATAGAAATGAAACCTTAAAATTAGGGCTATCCATTTGAAGATAAATTGAGAACACGGGGTTAATGTCTGCTATCCTATTTGGAATGCTTCTGTTTTCTCTGCTGAGCTTACCGGAGTCTCCTCTGTGCAGCGAAGGAGAACTGTAATGACTTCTGGCTTAGCAGAGGACAAATTTGTTTTCTTTAGCTCCGAGAGACTACTCGATTTAAAACAGGTGTCGCTGGGAAGTTTCATTTAGGAGGTATCTTACATTGCTCTCGGTTGATCATCAGACCGTTTTCAGCGAGGACGAAGGATTTTTTGCAGATCTGAGTTTATTCAGTAAAAATACCATGCAACACAGCTGGGCTCTGTTCTCTGATAGGAAGATTTTTTGCGGTCACAGGGGGAAGGTGACCCGGGAGAATACGCGCAACTCCACAGGTCCAAGTAACTTTGGCTGGTTTAGATTTAGGAGGCTTGCAGATTTCTAGAAAAAACAGGATTTGAATTTGAGCTTATAGCTTAAAACAACCCCTCAATTTCTTGCAGAATTTTTTTCCTGCAGATCCTGATGGTTCCTTGTTTTCCTCTCCAAGAAACTGGGTGCTCCTTTCTGCTGAGCACCCTGGCGATAGAGGCAGTAATGCAGCACTATAAAAACAACGCCCTGAACGAGAAAAAACAAAGCGTGATTCTCTCTCTGAAGGAAAAACCGTTGTTCCTGTGTTTTCTGTTAGCAGGTCTTTCCCCTGGTGAACTCCATTGGGCTGAACGAACAGGAGCTGCTGTTCCTCACGCAATCCGCTTCTGGTCCCCACGCCTCCCTTGCTTCCTGGACCGGAGTTCCCGACGTGGGTGTAGTCAGCGACATCCTCTTCTGGATCCTGAAGGAGCACGGGAAGACCGCAGAGCGGGCTTCTGACCTCACGCGGATCCACTTTCACACCCTGGCCTACCATATCCTCGTCACGGTGGATGGGTACTGGGGCAACCAGGTTGCCGCCGTGGCTGCCGGAGCTCGAGCAGCGGGGACTCAAGCCTGCGCGACCGAAACCATCGATACCAGCAAAGTCTTTCTTAAAGCTCCTTTGGAGTTCGTGACCTCCCAGATAGAGGCACCTTCCAAAATCTCTTTAAATCCGGATGAGCCAGTGGTGCATTGGCACAGAGAAGGCATCTCGTTCCATTTCACTCCTGTTTTGGTGTGTAAAGATCCCGTCCGGACCGTGGGACTTGGGGATGCTATTTCAGCTGAAGGACTCCTATACTCAGAAGTATATCCACAATAGAAGACTAACACCCTCCTTTTTCTCCAATACCGTTTGGTTTCGGAGGAACCTTGGTGTTCTCATTAGGATTTCAGCAGTGATGGTATAGGAACAGAATCAGGGTGTGGTGTGGTTTCTGGGTATGACTGAAAAAGAGCCAAAGAATAATTCCAGGTATAAACTGTCAGATACATTCCAGTCACTTGGCAACGACTTGAACGCTTCACGTTTTGGGTGCAGACTTTTTAGTCTTTAATGTGAAAATTGGCTTTGCTTTGTTCTAAACATGCGGGGAGGGAAACAAATATCAAAATCCCTATTTGGCGTAGGTTTGCCGTTTGTAACTCTGGATGGGTCTTGCCTGTTAGCGCTGGAAAGTACGGCGGCCAGGGGAATCTCCTGCGCGTGGATCCCAGGGTGAGCACGGCAGCGCTCGTCCCTGTCTTGCCTCTGATAAATTAAAAATAAAAGGCTCTTGCGGTTATCTCCTCGCAGCATGTTGGTACGTGGCAAGAGCAAACCTTCCGCTTGCTTGGTGTGCTGATGAAATCTTTTACTGATGAAATTACCTCTCGACCTTGGTGCCCTCGGCACCGGAGGGAGCCAGAGTCCTGAAATGTGATGCACGCTGTACCTCCTCCTTAAACAAAAACCCGACTCGAGGCTGCGTAGGTTCCTTTGGGTGTCTGTTCTCTCTCTGACTAAAGGTATTCAGCTGAGCCCTAGTAGCCTGTCCGTAGTTTTTTGGGCAGCTAGAAGTAAAGATAATCCGGGTTTATATTTGGGGAGACGGCTTTATTTTCTTGCCAGGTAAACCGCAAACCGTTACCTGTGCTTGCTGTACGCTAAATACCGAGAGTTCCAGCCAACACGGCCGGTGTTCTTTGCTAACAGCGGCTGCTTCTGTCTGGTAGTTTACAGAAAAGCTATTGAGTGCTGGAGACTAAGTGGGTTTTGTTTGACAATGGTTGTGCGGTTTTCTTCCGATTCCCTGCCTGCCATTCAGAAGGGTTAATATGTTAGGGAAGGTCCTTCCGGAGGCTCAAAAGCGTTTTCCAGGTAAGACTGAAGCGAGTAGGGTTTTTTAGGGTTTGATGTTGGTTTGGTTTTTTTGACTAGGTCACTGATCGTTTCTTTCCTCTGGACAGCCTTTGAAATTAAAAAAGTAGAACTATGTGTCCTTGTTAAATACTCTGCTTATATTTTTTCTTCCTCGTAGTAGCACATGATGGATCGCATAGCACCAGCGTTTTATTTTTTCTGTCTCTTTCCAGCATGGTTTTGTCTCTGTTCGCTTCCAGAAACTGCAAGTGTATTTGCGTAGCTATCATACACATTTTTTTCAGTATAACTGGATTAAATGCAATCACCATGTCTATGCAAGCCTGCGCTAGACCAGAATTTGCAGGAGGTCGCGTTAGGTCAGTTTTTACATCTGAATGGAGGGGAGGAGAGTCCGTATCATTTGGGCTGGAGTGATGCGGTTCAGTAACGCTGTCAGGTTGCTGTCGGTGATATTCTCCTGTTGGAAAATTCGTGAATGCTCTGTAAGGATAAAAAAATGACGGCCGTTTTAACTTGTACTGACTTAGCACACAATCAATGTATATTTAACTTCTGCTTCCCTCTGAGCAAAATGCCTCTGTGTTTTACCAGAGGAGAAACACAGTCAGCGCTGTTTTCCTGCAGCTTATCCCATCCTGATCTTCCGTTCAGTCTCAGCATTTATCTTGGTGCGGGATCTTCTTAAGACTGGAACTATTTTGATCCAGATTTTTTATTATTATTGATAAATTGTAGCGTGGGACTTAGGAGTTCTGCTTTAGACTTCCTACAGAAAAAAAGTAAATTAAAAAAAAAAAATCTCTCCTTATAGCTGCCTGAAAGGTCTGCGGCCGTTGGCAGGGTTATTTTGCAACCGTTGATCGCAGCCTTCTGGCACGGCGCCCCCAGGACCACCAAAGGCCGCGCATCCTGCCAGCTGGAGAACTAATCCTTTGCTTATGCTCGGTCCCGCTTTCCTGACGTTGGGCCAAGCGGTGTGGATTCTTGAGCTGGAAACAAAACAAAACTAAATCCACACAAGCTGTCAGCAGCAAACGGGCCTGCTGCTGTGTTTCACTTCTCGCTCCCAAAAAACATTTGCTGGGATGCGAGGGGATTGGTCTGGCGTTGCCTTATGGCCGTTTAAAATCACAGAACCAGAGTAACAGAACTTGTCTGAGGGTGAGCTGTGCTTGGATTTAACAGGAGCGTATTTTTAAAAACTACTTTATATAAATTGCTGTAAACAAGTATGAAAAAGGGGGCTTATTGCTTAGAATTCATCTGGGCCTAAAAGTTAAAACTCTAATTACTATTAACTCCTCCTTCCTGCTGCTCCTGTTCTTTCTCACCAGGTAGTATTTCTTCCCTGGCCTGTTGTCCGTGCGCTGTGAACGCCCGGTGCTGTGAGTCACTTCTCAGATGACGGCAGCTCGTGACGGCTAGACTGCTGCTCTGTCTGTAGATCCGCTTTGCTCGGGCGTATCGAGCTCGCCTGGTTACCAAATTCACTCACCGAGAATAATTCTTAAGAAGGAAGTGTGACCTGTTAATCAGACACGCTGTTAGTATCCCTGATTAAGCTTTGAAACAATCTATATGATAATAAAACTGAATTGAGCGGTGGGACGCAGCAGCCGGTCTTCCCTTAGTATTTCACACTCTGCGAATGTGATGCGCTTAACTTTCCTCTGCCTTCCCAACTTAATTACAAGAAGGGTCGCAGAGTCTCGTTAAATCCTTTTCCTGCCCGTGCAGGCTGTCGCGCACCTCCGCGCAGCTACAACAGCGGCAGCAAAGCAGAGCTGCTTGGTTTTTAACAGGCCTTGCCGAACAACAGAAATGGAAATTGCTCGTGGGGGTTTTGTTGGTCTGCGTAGCGGGGAAGAAACACCTAGTGAAATTCCTAGTGATTGTGGGTTTTGTTGTTTGGTTTGTAAAATCCTTGGTAGGCAAGAGATTTTTAAATAAATTTATCTATTGATTTCTAAAAATCCAGATCTCTCTTCACCAAGAAGAAACAGAGAAGTTGCAAAAGTACCAAAGGTTCAGAACTGGGCTTGACGTTCTCTCTGCTTTCCCCGATCCTCTCTGTCTCCACAAACTGTTTGTTCTCGCGCGTCGCTCCACAGTGGCGGGCGACTGAAACCTCAGCTAGCCTCGTGCTCCCCAACAGAAGGGTTTCCACTGGAAATGTTGACTCAGGCACAGTTTGCCGAAGATGCAATAGATGAGCTCATCATTGTGACAGTAAGCTAGCGGCTCTAGATGACAAAACTTATGCACGTTGATATTCCCACTTCTGTGGGCCTGTGGCCAGCGCAGCCGCGTTGGGTTCTGGGTTTGGTTTGGTTTTTTTTTTTGTCTTGCCCTTGATCAAAAATGAGCTTCATGTTTTTTCTGTGTATGTTGCTTACTGAAGGTCAAGGCATGGATTACTCGAGAGGCGTGAATCGCGGGAGGCTGGCAGACTGAAGGGATATGTTCCTGCTCTGCCCGTGGTGATGTGGGGTTGCTGCCCAATGGAAGAGCCTATCCCGAATCCAACTCTTTCCGATTTAAAGGCTCTTTTATTATTTATTTTTTTTTCTTTCCAGGGGAGTTTCGCAGCATCGCTCAGGAATTACTTGATTTTCTTTACTTCGGTGTTGCCTGGTTATTTCTGCAGTATGTGAGGTCTGGTTAAGTTTGCTCTTCTCACAAGTTCCTTTTGACAGAAATGGTGCTGAAATTTTCGTCCTTAGCCTTAGCAAAGACCTCAGCAACTCCTATGACCCTTGTTAGATGTTGCCTTTGAGCCTGACTCTGCTCCTCAGCTACTGGAACCCCAAGCTTCCATATCCACTCCCACAACCCAACAGAAAGCCATCAGCAGCGTGTACGTATTTGCTATCCGTTATCTTCCGCCCAAGTTTATTTTAAGACTAGTTAGCCTAAGGTAGGGGTTGCTTTCTAGTACACCTCCCAGTGATAATAACAGAAATAAAAAGTCAATTATTTTTTTTTAAAACTGTGAAATCTACTTGTGGTTGGCTTTTGTTTTTAAAGTCTCTAATCACACACCGAATTATCAGGAATTACGTGCCACAGGGTGACGTTTCTAGCTGCGTCCAGAGGAAAAAAATAAAAGCTAAAATGAATACTAGGGGCAGTTTTTTGCGAGACTGGTAAGAGGCAACCTAACTCTTTCCAGTTCCCCTAAGAGTCGTTTGAGCTCTCTTTTGGAGAGCTTAAGTGAAAGCTGATGCTGTTGTCGAGGAGCGAGCAGCTAAAAAGTCTCTCTGCGTTGGTATTTGGCGTTGGCTGCTGATACACGTGCTTGGAGCAATCTGTTCTGGAGCAGCGCTGTGTCACACGGTGTGCTGCATTGCTATTCCTGGTGTAAGGAAACATCTAGTTTTTAGCACATTGGGAAGAACAGTATAAAACTGGAGGAAAATACTGAATTTACATTTTTATGGCTCGAGTTGGATTGTCCTTATGTACCGCGTTCAATCAGTATTTGAACATGAATGTTTCTCTCGAGCCATATTAATTACGCTCTTCTCCAGTGCAATTAATGTTCTGGTAAAAGCATACAGTTGGGTTTTTTTGGTTTTTTTTAAACCTGTGATGATACCAAAGTGGTAGTTTAACGTTTAAAGAAACAATTACATGTCTATAGACTAATTGGTTAAAATCAGCTAAAACAGACTCCACAACAAAGACTGTCTCATGTTCTTCACTCAAGCTCTGCTGAGTTTACCAGAGAGAGAAAAGGGAATACTAAAGGTTTTGCTGTGAAAGTTTGAGTGATAAGGGGCAGAGGAAACCAATTTGCAACAAGTTCTTTTGCGTAGCACATCCCTCAGCCCGCTCTCACCCCTCCTGTCTGCTTTCTGCTCCAGCAGTCTGATTAAACTTGAGTCAAACTTGATCTTGGAGCCAGAAATGATCGTTCTGCCTGTTCAGAGGCGTCAGACGAACTTTTCTGTAAC